TCACTAGATCCCAAGGGCCCTAAGTTGTCCCCCGCTAAGTTGTGACAACAAAAAACTGTGTTTGAACATTGCCAAATTTCTCCTGGAGGACAAAATTGTCCCTGGTCAAGAACCATGGGGCTGGATTGACCTATGGGTTGCTTCAGCCCAAGGGCAAGAAGGGAGCCCGGTCACTGCTCAGATCATATTAAATCATTCTGATTCTCAACATACTGGATTTGTTTAAAGAATGGAATTGGAGAGCAGGATGTCCAAATTACCATCATCTTGATCGTTCACATGATAATGATGCCAGATGTGGTATCTGTCAAAAAGTAAGAATTACAAAAGGCAAAACTCTTTCATTGCTTCCCACACTGGGAGATGGTGCAAACCCATGTTATAGACATAAAGTGGGAACAATAAAGTGCTCCTAAAAGCATAAGCTCAAACCCTTACAACTTAGAAGAGGGAGCCACCAGGTCACATTGGGGACAATTCATCTATGGAAGTCTGGCCATTGGAACACTGAATGTCCAAATAAACCTCTGCAGCTCTCACATATTGGCACCTTCTCCCAAGATACCCTTGGTGGAACCTCCAGATTTCCTTTCCTTCAGACCAGAAAATGGCTGATGGAAACAGGCCCTCAAGGCACTGCCACTGAGGTCTCCTTTACTCTAGGGCTCAAAATACCCCAAGAAAAATTGTTTTCCAGGGGCTTCTACACTCTGAGCTGTGAAAGGATCAGACTATCCTGAGAGGTCTTTGTTACTGATATTGACCTCTCTCATGGTTTGAAACTTGATGTAACTAGGAACTGATCAAAAAGGAGTAATCTACATGGCAAAACTTCACGGGCAGTGTACAATTAAGAATTTCATCTGAGTGTGGTGGCACATGCCTGTAATCCCAGTGACTCAGGAGGCTGGGGCAGGATGATTGCAAGTTCAAGGCCAGTTCCAGCAACTTTGYAAGACCTTCAGCAATTTAGCAAGACCCTGCTCAAAATAAAAAACAAAAAGGGTGGGAATGCAGCTCAGTGGTAAAGAACCCTAGGGTTCAATCCCCGGTAATCCTCCCAACCCCCAAATTTTCATTTTAAGGAAAAATATCTCAAGCATTTGTATGATTCTAAGTCAGAAAGATGGTACTAGATGAGTGTATTTATTAAAGCTAAAAACTGAAACACAAGATGTTTTTAAACCAAAACTTTAGCATAGACTTAAGTTCAGAAGGAAAATGTATGTTATCAGCAACGCCATCAAAGAGTTTTATTAACATTTGTAACATCTACCCTTCCATATTGTCTAACCTCATGAGGTTTCTTCTTTGTGCTTAGGGTGCCATGATGCCCTTCCTCCTCCAGACTGCAAGGCAGTTCTTAGCATCAGCTGTACTGCATGTGAAAGTCAACCTGCGACTCTGAGTTAAGAAATTAAGGCTGTTGGTTACTTAGCTGCAGAATGGCCTGGGTTTCTCACAATGCAAATTCTCCTAAATAACTGAGCCTTAAAGTCTGAATCTGTGGTCTTTATTTTTCAACCACATACATGTTAAAGTATTCACTRTCTTCATAAGCACCTTCTTTTTTCTCCATAGACTGATAAATGCACATGGCTTGTCCCACGTTGGGTCATGCTAATTTCCCATCCAAATGTTTACTATCAAATGTGGTGTGCAGAGTCCCCACACACTACCTACAATTCCCTCCACAGTATTAGAAACGATTTCATTTTCTTATGAGTGTGAAAGAGTTGGATTGGATAATCCCTCCCAACAACAGGCTTGAGATCTAAAGAGAAGATGGGAGTGGGGGTGGTCTGGACACTGGAAGAGGCTTGAGGGTACAGCAGGCCAACCCCTGTAGCAGCTGTACTGCATGTGAAAGTTTTTTTAAATTTTTCTATCAGGTATTGAACCCAGGGATGTGTAACCACTGAGCCACATCCCCAGCCCCTTTTATTTTTTGAGACAGGTCTCACTAAGTTGCTTAGGGCCTTGCTAAGTTGCTGGGGCTGGCTTTGAACTTGTGATCCTCCTGCCTCAGCTTCCCAAGCTGCTGGGATTACAGGCATGTGCCACTGAACTCAAGGTGAGGTTTTTGAAAGCCAAAGAGCAGTCAGAAGGCCCTGCAATGACACAAAGGCCTTGGGACAGCCCCTTTTCTTGTGATTTTTGTGAGGCCATGAGTCAAGGTTCTGATTTGAATGGAGAGGGGGCATGGGCTTCCAGAATGGTAGCCAAAAAAACAAGTGACAAAGGGTACATGGAGGGAGTCTGGTTTTTTACCCTCTTCAATCTAATGATTCCCCCTAGTTATTCCTGTTTCAGATGATTGAGCAACCTTGTCCTGGGAAATCTGGCACCAAAAACTTTGGTTTTATTCCCATAAGAAATTCTGGGATTTCAGAAGAGAGGCTGATCTTCAAAGCAAATTTTTTTTTTTAAATCTCCAGACTCTGATCAAGCCTCTCAGAGAGTTGCCACTCCACAGGAGTGATGGGTCAAAGCTGAGTTTTCCTAGCCACTGCAGAAAGCTGAAAGTCTCCTGCCACCCACTGCRGAAGAGGTCCCCTGCCAAACTCCTTCTTCCTTGAATAAACACAACAGAGACCGAGTGAGAAGTAGCTACAGTTTAATGCAAACCTGCACCAGAACACAACGTGTCGGGCTGTTTTGTTTTTGCCTCAAACGGTGGCCAAAGCACAGGGCTGTGTGTCATCTTGGGGTTGACACTGTCTTAGCACCATGACATTTACAGAGTGAGGAAGTCACTTGGGTGCTGGAGGCTCCATCCCGACCCCAGGGTGTGCCCGCCGCCTTGGCAGCTGGAGGGGGTTTGGGTTTCCGCGTGGTTCTGTGGTTTCTGGGTCAGTATGGGTCATCATGGCATCGGCTCGACAGAGACCTACTGTGCACTCCTAGCACTACACACACGCACACACACGCACACACGGTAGCACAATTTTCTGGTAACTTAACCCCACAAACCTAGAGAGCAGCTAAGGCAAGAACAACAGTATTTATTCAGTAAGTACAAGACCAGTTTGAGAGCTGCAGTCGGTGCAACCAGAAACCCTTTCCATCCCAGCCAGGAGCCGTTGGGGCTAGGGATGGAGCTGGCTGGGATCTGCACGGGGCAGGGAGTGGATGGTGAGGATGACCATTCGTTTGCTCCTTGAACCTCCTTCTGATTTCCATCTAGAAGCTCCTGGGTGAGGGTCGGGTCTATGCAGGGTGGGAGTGGATGAAGTGGGAGGCCTCCAGTGGGCCCCTCCAAGATGTGGTCTCCCAGCACCCTGGGTCATGCATCTCTTGGGCGGAGGCACTCAGAGAAGGTAAAGCTTTGCTAGCCCAAGCAGGGTGCTCTGCCCAGCTGGCCTCACCACCACTTGGCTCTTTGGCATCTGCCCAAGGCCCATGACCCAGCTAGAGCTGAAAGGGATAAAGATGGTGTGCATTGTACCAGGGGTCAGTGTCACAGTTTCCCTTGTCCATTGTGGCTTTCCCAGGCCTGGGTCCCTACTACTGTCCCCATAGCTGCCTCTGTTCCCTGGGTTACCATCTATCCTTTCAGCCCCTAAGTGAGATTAAGGGGAGTGAAGGGAGGATGTGGATGAAGCTCAAATGACACAGGAGGACCTCAACATTTGGCTAGTCCTGACTCAAACCAAGAATGTGCATTAATTTGTTTACAACGGAGAAAAATCTATTTGTGCAAAACAAAGCAGAATGCCTACCGGGGAGTAAGTCTTCTAGTTAGTTGTTGGTGGGTTTGACAGCAGACACCACCCCATACCTCCTTCTCCATAGCTAAGCTAGAGAGCTATGGTCACAGGGCAGTCATGGGCACTTCTGGGACCAGAGGGTGTAAATTTTCTGGGCCTCAGTTCCATCATCTGTAAAGTGGGAAGAATAATAGGTGTGCTCTATTGTTGTGAGGAGTGAGTGAAATCTTTATATGGAAGAGCTTTGATATGCAGAAGCGCTCTAGAAATGCGCAGGGTATGACCTTTAACCAAGAGTCCAGGGGCCTCCTGAAAGCTTGGGGAGGATCAAACCAAAGGCTCGACATGAAATCACTTCCCGAGGGGGAAACAAGGCTTATCAAGGGGAGGTGGCTGGGCCACTTCCCATACCACTAGGGATAGATGGACATCACCTGCCTCCAGGGCTCCAGTGAGAATCTCTATGGAACGTGGGAGGAGATGAGGCCACCAGCCAGTGAAGGTGGGGTGCTGACTATGGGAGTCCATRGCACTTATGCAGTGATGTGGATTTACCATTGTCCCTGTGGCTGGCGTCTCCCTCCCTGGCCCTGGGCATTTGGCCAGTCCCTCTTCCACTCCCCCTCTCTCAGCAGGCATGAGGCCTCTTGCCAATCACACAGGAGGAGTGGCCAGGCCTCTGTCCAGCAAGAGGAAATTACAGGGAGCTGTGTATATGTGTTGGGAGTGGTTAGTGCTGGGAATGACCAGGGCCAGAGATGGGAGGGGCTGACCTACTGCCTGAAGGTTTCAAGGGCCAGTGTCTAGGTCCCCTCTTAGAATGAAGAAAATCCAAATGAAGGAGGGAAGTGGGTCCTGGCCCAGGAAGCCTGGGGGAGGGGCCCGTGCGGCCTGGCCCCATCAACTCTGCCCTGTGCTGTCTGGTTGGTGGCGAGTGCAGCATCTCCTAAGGACCACATCTATTCCTGTTTCTATGCTATGCTAGTGACACGAAGCACCGTTATTTTCCACAGGATGCACAAACAAGTCAAACCAAACCACTGCGCAAACCAAACGTGCAAAACAAAACCATTTACACGCGCCTGGCACCAGCCTTACACCCCTGCCCAGCTATCCCTTGGGGCCTGGGTCTCACAGAGGGTATGGGTTTGGAGCTGAAAGAGGCTGGCAAAGGGCACAGGGTGTCCCAACCACACCCACACCCAGAGTGTCCCGACTACACCCACACGGGACTAGAGGTGCGTTAGGAGAGATGGGATGTCCTAGGCATGGCTGGGAAGCTGACACCTGTCTGACTTGGGAAATGTCACCAAGGGGCCTAAGGGGGTGGGGGAGGGAGGCCATTACTTATAAAACACATTTGCTAAAGTGCTCTGGACACCTGGTGGGGTGGCCAGGGGCAGGGCACTAGAGTCTGGGCCTTCCCAGAGCCAGCAGAGGTGGCAGTGGTGGGAGGAGGGGCTGGGCCAGGGCTATGCATTGCTCCCCTCCGTGCATAGTGTGGGCTTCTGGGGCCCGGAGAAGCCCCTGCCGCAGGAAGGGAGCACAGCAGGAGGGACAGCTCAAAGTGCCTGTTAGGGTGGCTCGAAGCCCAGTGAATCACGTTCAGATGTGGGGAGGCTCCCCGGTCTGGGGGGGCCCCCCCCGCAGGTGGTGCTGCCAGCCCAGCCTCTACGGCCCCCTGTAGCTGTGGCCGGAAGGTGTGCAGGTGGGTGGCAGTGGCGCATCCTCACTTGGGGGGCCGGTCAGGGCCTTTACCAAATGCCGCTCGACCTGCCTCCAGGGGGCGCGAGGATCCGAGCTGAGGCTCGCTTTGGAACGTGGTCATCAATCTGAGAACCTGTAGGGAGGGAAGTCGACGGTGAGCCAAGCAGCTCCTGCTTGGGTAACAGGCCACGGCTGCCTCCAGGAGACAACCGACTAAATTAAGCCCCTTGTAGGTATTATCTCAACACCATCCCATTTTACAGATGAGGACTCAGGCTCAGGGACAGTGAGTAACTGTCCCTGTTAAGGAGTGGAGCCTGGATTCGAACCAAGTTTTTTCTTACTCAGTCTACTCTATCAGCTGCCCCCCTCCCTGTGGGCTTGTGGCCTGCAGCCAGGGCACAGTCTGTCACCATGCAGACCACGGATCAGCCTCTCAGCCAGGACCTCTATACATGTGCCTCAGTGAGTAGGTGAGAGGGGGAGAAGGGAAGACGCTCCATTGTTTTTGGAAAATGAAAGACCCACACCCCAAAGGCCCCCTATCTGAAATTCCAAAATTTACTTAGAAAGGGAGGGGCTAAACTAGTGAGACCTTGTCTCAAAATGAAAAACAAAAAGGAAAAGGGGATGGGGTGTAGCTCAGTGATAGAGCACCCCTGGGTTCAATCCCTAGAGCCAAAAAAAGACAGAAGTGGCCCAGGGAGCACGGTGGGGCAGCGGGCAGTCTTTGGCCTGACCCATTTGGAGTAGACAAGAGAGGTGAGGATGGGCTGCCTGAGCCTGCAGTGCTTGAGCAGAGCTCTGCCCAGATGTGGCTCTTGGGTGGGGGCCACAGGGCCCTGAGGTCGTGTTCCTTCTCCTGGGGCTGGGGACTGGGGGCAGGACTGTACCCAGGCAGCCTAGGGGATTCACACCTCCTGGCCGGTGAGGCCTGAGGGTGCCAGGACAAGTCCTCCAGGCACAGATGCTTCTGACTCCAAGCATTCATGTCCTGTCACAGGTGGAAGTGGCAGTGGCCCTCAGCGTGTTTGTGTGTGTGGATCCTGACCCACAGGTCACCACTACCTCTGATGGGAACTTTACGGCGCTGCCACAGGCTGCTCCTACTGTGCAGGAGGGGCCTCTGCAGGCAGGTTCCCTCGCCAGCCCTCACTCAGCCTCTGCCTGTCCTAGGGAGTGGTCTGTGCTCTGGGTGGGATGATGGGGGTCTTACTTTTCTTGCTGTCCCCACCCCAAGCATAGCTCTGGCAGAGAGGACTCTCTCTGGGCTGGTCCTGAGGGCTACTGGGCCGAGGTTGAGAGGACCCAAGCCCCCTGCTCCTTTCAAGCGGTGGTGACAGTTTCCACCAAAGTCTCCAGAAGGACCAAGACATCTCACAGCCTCTACCTGTCCTCCACTGAAGGCTACCCTTATGAGGCAGTGATCACATCCCAGTTCCATACAGGGAGGTCCCTGTGCACACATGGCCATGGCTGAGGGGAGCCTAGGGCTCTGCTGTTGGTGTCGGTAGGAGATTATGGCATAAAGAATGGGGACAGAAGGGCTAGGGACATATCTCAGTTGGCAGAGTGCCTGTCTGGCATGCACAAGGCCCTGGGTTCAATCCCCAGCACCACCAAAAAAAAAGAAAAAAAAAAAAAAAAAGAATTTGGGGCTGGGGTTGTGGCTCAGTGGTAGAGCACTGCCTAGCATGCACGAGACACTGGGTTCAATCCTCAGCACCACATAAATGTAAAATAAAGATATTGTGTCCACCTAAAACTTTATTTCCTTTTTTTAAAATTTTAATATTTACTTTTTAGTTTTCGGCGGACACAACATCTTTGTTTCTATGTGGTGCTGGGGATTGAACTTGGGCCGCATGCATGCCAGGCGAGCGCGCTACCRCTTGAGCCACATCCCCAGCCCCCACCTAAAACTTAAGAATAAATATTAAACAAAAAGAAAAGAAAAAAAGAATGAGGACAGGACACAGCCAAGGAGCTCAGAGATTCTGCAGACAGACGGGGGCTAGGACATGGCCCAAGGGACAGAGAGATAAGAAAAGGAACTGGGAGTCAGAGGTCAAGAGACAGAAAATATTTAAAATAAATGGAGTGTGTGTGTGTGTGTGTGTGTGTGTGAGAGAGAGAGAGAGAGAGAGAGAGAGAGAGAGAGAGAGAGAATTAAATATATATAATATAGTTCCTGTTTTTTTTTTTTTTAAAGATGGAAACAGAGGAAAAGTGAGGATGGTGAGGCAGGGTCAGAGAGAAACAAAGAGCAGGATGACCGGCCCCCAGAGGAGCTGCCGAGGGCCCTGAACCGCAGCGGCCCGGGCATCGCTGGGCACCCGTGTGTGGGAAGCCCAGGGGAGCCCTGGTGCTGCTCGTCCCTCCCCCTATTTGTGTGTCTACAGCAGGCCCAGCGCTCCTCCCGGGGGAGGAGGAGGGACGCCGAGGGCCAGCAGGCCTTCCAGGCCCTGGCCCGCCATCCCACCCTTACCAGAGAGGCTGAAGCTGGATTCGTGAAGGTCCCGCATGCCCCCGTGCCGGGTGACCGGCCGCGTGGGCGTGTCTGCCAGCGGCGTGCCCATCTCTTTTTTCCCAGGATGCACAACGACAGCGACGTCCCCCAGGTAGGGAGTGCGGTCCACTCCCCTCACCTTTAAGGTCTGGTGAAGGCAAAGGACAGTAGTGTCAGAGTCGAGGAAAACGCGAGGGGACCTGAGTCAGGAGTCAGCGAGGCTTCCCATGCCTCAGCCCAGAGGTTGGGGGTTCTTTTCTTGCTCCCCCTAAACAGCRCCTATCTGCATGTGCTCAGGGCGTCGTGTGCTAGAGAGAGACCCAAGGCTCCCCTCAAAACTGGCGGAACTCTCGTGACTAGTCTAGCATGGGACAATGCTAGCTCACAWGGGACAATGCTACCCCTCTGTGCCGGGCTCCCAAGGGGCCATGCCTTTTACTATGGTCTGATAACTGTGGGAATAGAGGCTCTAGAGCTGATCTGGAGACCCTGAGTTGGAAGGCTAGTTAATCCTATACTCCCCAAACCAGCAGGGTTAAGAGCAACCAGGTTGCCTGGGTTCCAATCCTAATGGCCAGTTGTAAGCCGTGTGACGGTGTGTAAATCACTTAATCTCTCCTTCCTCTTTTTGCAACATTAGGATGGTAACTGTGCCTACATCACAAGAGTTGTCATGAGATACAATAAATGAATAGGAGTAAAGCTCTTAGAACTGCTCCAGCCCAGGTTGGTTTTGGTGCTTCACAGTGTTCAGAAGTGCTGCTGTGGGCAGGAAGATGTGTGTGGGGGTGTGTGCACGTAAATGTGAAGGAGCAGCAGRGACCATCTACACTCTGCCACCCCTCAGGGATGCAGCGTCAACTGCGTTGCTGCTTAATGCTTATTGACAATCTTGTTAAGAGAGAACAGACCTGGGTGATTTCTCAAAGTCCATTCCTTCATGTTCTCTGACAACAGATCAAGTTTTCCTCTTCCAAGTRGGAAAGAGAGTGATCATATGTATCAAGCACTCAGATGCCATTATAAGGACTTGATATTTATTAACACATTTAATTCTCACACAACTTTATGAGGAAGTGCTGTTATTACCCCATGTGGCAGCTGAGTTCCAGAGAGGTTAAGCAATTTGCTCAAGGTTACACAGCTGTTAAACAGTAGAGCCAGTCCACAAGTCTAACTCTGGGGCTTGCYGGCCAACACTGGCTGCTACACAAGCTGGGTGACATCCTACTTGTTATTGATTTCCAGGCCTTTGCAGCCTTACCCCAAACCTGTTTTTTTYTTCTTTTTCTTTTTGTTGTTGTTCATTWAAAACTCTCTCCATCTATCTATAATCTTGTCACTTTGCCCAATTTTCTGTATCATGTTTTGCAAAAGTAACCCTCCACGGGGGAAGGTAGCTTGATCCCAGCTTTGCTATCAGCAGGGCTTTCTGTCCTTGGGTCCATTGTCAGGTTTCCTGAGCAGCGCTCTGGCTGCTCTGGGCCCCACCTTCCCCACAGCTGACCAGCTGGACATCAGAGATTGCAGTTTCACTGAAGTCCCAAGGTCAAGGTGGAGGAAGGAAGTGTTGCTCAAAAGTGGAGATGCGGTCTTCCTAGGTTGCTGGGCAGGCAGAACAAATTCCAGACACCCGGCCTGTGGCGGAAGATCAGGTTCCTTAAACGGACAGCGTTAAGGACTCTGTGGTCTAAGKGGGACTTAGTCACACTGCACATTTGGCAGGGTCTGGACCTCAAGGCTTCCTGAGTCTCAGCTGGGGCGCTGCATTCATGAGACAGCAAGAACATCCTCAAGATCGGCAGACCTTCCTCTGTAGTATATTTCTGAGAACATGGGGACTCAGGTGCCCTCCCAGCGGGCAGGTTCCACCCCTTGGTCTGACCTGCAAACACAGTCTGTGCCTTTTCCCCTACTTGCTGCTTCTTGGAACTGCCGCAGGCCTTGGCCCACAAGCTCTGGGGAGCTTCCTCCTGAGGCCCGGGGCTGCTCCCCCACCCACTGGCCCACAGTGAGGCTGRCTCCTAGAAGTCTGAGACGCGTCTTTGGCTCTTTTCATCCTATTTCCTGACTATATTTGTTCAGGAATTGCCATGGACCCTTGTCAGAGATGATTCTTCTTTTTTAGTTGAGACATAATCAGAATATTACACAATTCACAATGTAAAATATAAAATCTAGTGGGATTTAGTATTTCACAAGGTTTTCTACTGTTGCCACTAATTCCAAAACATTTTCATTATCCTGCAAAGAAAACTTATCACTCCTTTTTCTCCCCTTCTCCAAGTCCTAAATAACCACCAATCTATTTTCTGTCTACGGATTGTATTTTCTTCTGGAYGTTTCATATACTATCATATAATATGTTATCTTTTGTATTGGGCTTCTTTGACTCAGAATAACAGATTTATCCACATTGAATGTACTGTTTTTTATCCATCTTTATTCCTTTTTGTGGCTGAAYCATATTTCACTGGATGGATATACCACAAGTTTACCCTTTCAACAGCTGATGGACATTTGGGTTGTTGYTACTTTTGGGCTTTTATCCATAGTGTTATATGAATGATTAGGTGCATGTTTTTGCATAGACATGTTTTCATTTCTCTTAGGTAGATACCTGAGAGTAGAATTGCTGGGTCATATGCTAACTGTCTATTTAACTTTTGGGGAAAGTGCAAAACTCTTCCACTGTGGCTGAACCATTTTACATTCCTTCCAGCAAAGACTGAGGGTTCCAGTTTCTCCACATTCTTGCCCACACTTGTTATTCTCCTGTGTTCCGAATATGGCCTCCCTCGGTCAGACAATCTTAAGTGCAGATGCCCTGCTTTTCCAGCTTTTTCTGGCACCTTCTCCAGGCCTCCTCCTGCCCACTGTCTAAGTATGGGGATCAGCACCTTAAGATGAAACTATTTGCTGGCCTGCCTGAGACACCCTGAGTTTGTGCTTGGATTCAATGCTAYGGTAACTAAAGTCACGCCTGTTTCTGGCAGCCCAAGCCTCCTCCCCCACAGTGCTCTATACTGATGGGGTTCTGTACCGTTGGCCTTGGTGACTCAGGGAGCTCGGGCCCTCTCATGTGGAGAGCTTTCCAGCAGTCTTGGTCTTGARAGTCAGCAGACCTGCTTACCCTTATGCTCTGGATGACGGCCTTCGAATGCCCGCTCCACCCGCCTTCACTCATAGAAAGTGTGGGAGGAAGCAAAGGCTGTCACTCCAGGGCCAGCCTGTGTATAAAAGGATCTCAGCTGTCACAGACACACGTTTCCCTGGAACTCAGGACTCCCTGCTTGCCTGTTCTTAAAAAATTCTATCTGGTAATCAAAGATGGGAAATGGAAACCAGAATTTTCCAACTCTAGMATTCTCCCTTGTCCTGCCTTCTCAACACTGGCTAGATGGCAACAGGACTTTAAAACAGTCACATGAGCTGTCCACCAGTGGAAGCTTTGACCTCTTCCCACCCATCTTCCTGCCCTGCCCACCTCACCTTCTCTCTCTGGACCAGTTTCTTGTAGACAGTGTCTGGGAAGGACCGTAGGGGACAGAACTTGCCGGTGCCCTCGGCACACATGAAGACACCGTTCTCATACACAACACGCCCCCGGCTAATGGTGACCAGCGGCACGCCATGGCAGCGCATGTTCTCATACAGGTTGAAGTCCCCTCCTTGAACCTGGGTGCTGGCGGAGATGGTCCTGGTGGGAGGCAACGGTGGGAGAAAAGGCTCTGAGGTCAAGATGCCACCTCTTGATGGAAGGGGATGACAGTGCATGGGAAGGGATGGCCTGCAAAGGCTGGTTGTCATGGGCTGAACTCTGACCCCTCAAAAGTTACATTTTGAAGGCTTAATCYCCGGGACCCCAGGATGTGACCATCTTTGGAGACAGGGCAGTTAGCAAGGTAACTAAGGCAAAAAYGAGCTCACAGGACAGGTGGGTCTCAATCCCGTCTGACTGGGATCCTTATAAAGAGAGGAGACACCAAACATGAGGTGCCCAGAGGAAACAGAGGGAGAAGATGGCCATCAGTAAGCCAGGGTCACATTCTCTAGGCCAGCAGTGGTGCGGAGACCATCTGCTTTGGGAGTTCTCCAATACAAGCTCTTTGAAATCCCAAGTCCCCTTAGCCCTGGAGACMAGCAGCAAGTTTTACTTTGTGGCTTCCGGGTCCCACACCACCACGTCGGCATCAGCTCCCGGGATGATGCGGCCCTTGCGGGGATACAGGTTGAGAATCTTAGCCGCGTTGGAACTGGTAACAGCCACRAAACGGTTCTCGTCCATCTTTCCTCCAACCTGGAACATTGTAGAGGAGTCACATCAACCAGGCTCCAGGTGGGCACCCCTCATCCTGGTCACTTTTGACCCTGGCCCTGTGGCCTTTTAGATCAGGGTATGAGAATTATGATCCTAATTATGACACTGCCGTGAGCACTGTCTCAGATCAGCCAAGGAGCCAGGCGTAGTCTACTCCTGTGCCCACTAGGGACGYGTCAGGGCCTCCCTTTATCTGCAAACGGGTTACAGTAGTTCTCCCTTTTCTGTGAGGGAGATGTTCCAAGACTCCCCAGTGCAGGCTTGAAACTGCAGAGAGTACTGAGCCCTATGTAGCCTGTGCTTTCTCCTATACATACAAAGCTGTGAAAAAAAATTTAACTTATAAATTAGGAACAACAATAGATTAATAATAATAACCAATAATAAAACAACAATTATAATAATAKACTGTAATACAATTATTTTAAACTTATGAATTACTTATTTCTGGAATTTTCCATTTGTTACTTTTGGACTGAGGTTGATGGAATGTAGCTAAAATGGTGGAAAGTGGCACTGGATAAGAGAGTTCATAATGAGGTGTATTTCTGTGCTCTGGAGAAGCATCCTACTACCCCAGCCTCCCTCCCTGAAGTGCRGACTCCCCTCAAGGGGCCCTGAGCCAGCTCATGGGCCTCCTCTGAGCTGGGGGACTTCAAATCTCTTTCAGCTCATATTTTGTGTTGAGTTTAATCCGTGATAGATCAAGACCAAAAATAACTTATTCTTCMTGGGCAGAACAGGTGGTATTCAAATGCAGTCCCTATCTTTTTTGAAATTCAATTAGATAAAATATACCAAGAACCTTACAAATGTTATATCCCTTGGCTCAGAAATCGACTTCTAGGAATCTATCCTACGGGAGCATTAGAAATACTGACATACACTCATGAACAAAGTGGTTCTCTATGGCATTATTAAGTACAAAAATTTGAAACAGCCCAAGTTCTGAATACCAGGAAGGATTAAATAAAGCACAGTACTTCAACTGGAGGGAATATTATTCAGCCTTCAAAAGATGTTTAAAAGACCTTTTACTGATATAAGACATTCAAGATATACTAATTACCAAGAAAAAAAGATATCCCCAGTTCTTAAAATAATGTATGGTACACACCTCAAACTAGAMAGAAATACACCAAAATGTTAATAGTTTAATTTCTAGGCCTGGAATGWCAGGAATTGTTTTCCTATACTTTTCTGTATTTTCCCAATTTTTATAATAAGTCTTATCACCTTTCTAATCAGGGGAGAAAAGACCTTTTTTGTGTCATGGATTTTTTGTTTTGTTTTGTTTTGAAGCTGGGGATCGAACCCGGGCCCTTGCACCTGCCAAGCATATTTTCTACCACTGAGCTCACCTTGAGCTTTTTCTTTTGGGTACCGGGGATTAAACTCAGGGGCACTTGACCACTGAGCCACATCCCCAGCCCTATTTTTGTATKTTATTAGAGACAGGATCTCACTGAGTTGCTTAGCACCTCACTAAATTGCTGAGGCTGGCTCTGAACTCATGATCCTCCTGCCTCGCCCTCCCCAACTACTAGGATTATAGGCGTATGCCACCGCGCCCAGCTGAGCTTTTTCTTTTTAATTTTTTTCGTAGTTGTAGACGAGCAGCATGCCTTTATKTCATTTATTTTTGTATGTGGTACTAAGGCTCGAACCCAGTGCCTCACACATACTAGGCAAGTGCTCTGCCACTGAGCCCCAGCCCCAGCCCCASCCTGAGCTTTTTGTTTTTGGGTGGAATAAGGAGCTGTGGCTGAAGCAGCCCTCCTGAGGATGGTCTTTGGCAGGGTCCTCAGAGTGAAAACTTGCCCCCAGCCCCCAGGAGCCAGGTCCCGAGACACGTACCACTCCTCTCTCCCAGATGACGCTCATGCGGTCCTGCACACCGCTCACCCCGTGCGGGATCTTGGTGAAGTCCTCCTTGCCCATAGCTTTCTGCTTCGTGGTGAATGGCCGGTGATCTGATGCCACAATGTTCAGAGTGTCACTGGGGAGAGAAAAGYAAACAACCAATGAGGGGAGGGGAGRCCAGGGTCCCCAGAGGGAGGGATAGGTACAGGGGAAAAGCCTGGGCTTGGGAACCAGGCTAAGCTGACTCCGGTCTTAGTGGTGCCATTTAGTAGCTGTGTGACCTATAATGAGTTCGCCTAAGTGAATTCCAGTTTACCCATCTACAGAATGGGAATATGTGCAGTATGCATCACAGGAGACTTTAGTGACAGCTTTTGAGAAGGCGATTTTTATGAGACAGGGCAGAGAGCAACCGAACTTCGGGTTCAGCTGAAATGAAATGACGGAGGTGGTTTTCTATCATGGAACCAAACGCCAGAGTTCCTCTCATCAGTTCCCCCTGAGACCYCCAACCCTGTTGGCAGCAAGCGGGTGCCAGTAAGACATTCACAAGTTCAAWGTGAAGCTTTGGTGAGTGGCTTGGAGCCACAGTCTTCTGTGGATGCAGAGGCTCTAAACACCCAGAAGAGAAAGAGGGACAACAGAAGAGAAAGGGACATCATTGACATGGTCTGAAAGTTGATTGGTTCGTCACTAATGCCGTCCATGCTCACGGTCATCAGACGGTTATTAGGGTTGTGGATGCATAAGGCACAGGCCAGGCTTGCAATGGCTTGCAGGATGGCTAAGACTCAGGGCAGGACAAGACACACGGTGGCCTGCCCTCTGCCAAAGGAGGAGGAAGGCAGCTGGCCCCTACTCGAGATATCTGTGGGCAGTGGGCTCAGAGGCTGTGAGGAGCAGAGAGAGAGAAAGCCCATGTCACCAAGGTCAGGCAACACTGGGAAGAAATGCCCTGGGAGGGCAGGAGGCCGGGGAACTGCTGGAGCACACAGTGGGGCCCTCGTGGGTCTCCTGCAGGAGCCTCATCTTGCCCTGTGGGAGGCACAAGGTGAGTGTGCACAGGCCACCTACGATGCCMGCTTTGAAGGGGAATCTGGAGCAGAAGGCCCCCTGGTGGGGTCAGGAKGCATAATCTTGAGGCTCTCAGACAATAGCCAGCCAACACCACGCATGGGCTATCTCCACCGGGCCTGGCAGGCTCATCAGTTTCAGCTCTTGCCAAATGATTAATGTGCTTGGTCAAATCCACAGTAAGATGACTTAGCCCTTTCTGCAACTGAAGCTGACAATCCCCTGGGCTTCAGAGACAGCGGAAGAGACTCTTGCAACGAGCAGAGGGTGTGTTCTAGAGCCCCATGGCTCCCCGTGTTCTCCACACCTGCAAAACCCACCAGACAGCGGGATCTCCAGAGCTTTCATGGTCTTTCTAGAAGCCTCCAGATACCAGGAATGGCTTAAATCAGGAAAGACCCCACCACAGAGTCAGGGGTTGCAGGTCAGGACCTTGCAGCATGGGATCGAYGCCTAACTTTCTCAGAAGGCTCCCCAACAAGTGGGAAGGTGAGAATGAATGCATTACTTTCTGGAAGAGCATTTGAGTTCTCCTAGTACTGCCCCAAATCTGGGAGATGGGAAATACCCATCCAAAATCTTCAAAGCTTAAAAACAAGACTGGGTTTGTCAAAGATGTACTTCAATGTTTTACATATTCAAATGAAAAAAAAAATTCTGGGCCTTTTAAGAAGACAGATTTTTTAAAATATATTTTTTAGTTGTAGTTGACACAATATCTTTATTTTATTTTTATGCGGCACTGAGGATTGAACCCAGAGCCTTGCACATGCCAGGCAAGCGCTCTACCACTAAGCCACAACCCTAGCCCCCCAAGACAGATTTTTAAATAAAGGACAAATCCTCATATGTATAGATTGTGGGTTTTTTTTCCTATTCAGCATACGAAATCACATCTTAAAATAGATAATGATAGAGTAGCTCTTATTCTCTTTTAGCAATAATAATTGGTGTCTGGGTTTTCTATCAAGTATTTTGCTTCATGGAAATTACAGCAACAATATATTATATAGGCAAAATTATAGTAACCACAAATTTCTATAAATAATTAAAATGTGAAAAGTACGMTCCAAATCCTATAAAATAGCACACATTTTACAATATGTACTGATTAAAAAGGGTTTCAGATAATTCTAACAAATAAAATTGAAATTCTTCTTAAATGAATAGAATTTATTTAAATTCTGGGACAAAATAGGCTAGATATAAACACTTCAGTTATTCAATTAATAATTCTTGATTTGTGTGGGTTTGGGGCACTTATTATCTTTTGCTATTGCAGTAAATTTGCTTGTACCAAGTGGAGGCATTTCAAAAGATTCTCTGACTTTGGAACCAAGCCCAAGTTATTATATATGGTGGGTTGTTAATAATTATGAAAAGGAGGTTGGTTTCTCCCAAGGAAAAGCAGACCCAGYGCATTCTCTCTTTACCTCTTTACCCTCTGAAGTTGTCTAATGAATCTGTCTAATGAATCTGTAAGAACTGCTGCTGCTGCTGCCTAGCACCACACCCAAACAATGAGACTGAGTCTAACTACTGCCACTAGACCATGGTGCACACTGGCCTCTACCCCAGACTCCATTCCACGGAAAGCCCCYTCCCCACACTTCTCTTTAGGGCCTTAACATGTCAAGTGTTGAGATTCTAGTTGCTGGCAACCAGGACTGAAAACCAAGGACAGGGATGAATTAAGTGCCGCATGATCTAAAGAGAACCACCTTCCATTAGGGCCTATCATCTCCTTCAACTCCCTTGCATCATCCCAGAAAAGATACCTTTGCCTTCCCCCAGCCCCTGGTCTGTGGAAGACAGAGTGTCCACTGGRTGCAGTGGCCTGGTGTCTTGCCCTGCCTCCTATTCCAGGTGCAGCTCTGCTCYCAGACTCTCCACCCCAGCATCAAGTAGGAGCATTTCAAGAGGGCAGAGGAGACAGCAATGGGCACTTGCTGGGGCAGTGGACTGGCAGCTCTGCCCCTAAGCTCTGGGTGAGGAGTGCTGGGGAGGGTGGGCCAAACTCTGTAAGCTTCCAGACATACACTGCCTTGCCAGGGTCCTCGCTAGCACTGGRAGCAAGGAAAGACGCAGGCCTGGGCATGGGGAAGAGCCCTCTTTCCCCTCATCCACCTACCCTAACTTGAATTGAGCTGGGAAAGAAAGGGGAGGAGACTTAACTTTTTTTTTCCTTTTTTTTAGATTGTCTTTTAAACTAGATGTCACTTTAACCGCCAAAAGTGAAGASAAAGCAATGGCTCCTCCCCCAATGTCACTAGAAAAGAGAAAGAAGCTGCAGGAAGTTACTGGGACAAAACAATTTTTTTTTTTTTTGTACCAGGGRTTGAACCCAGGGGTGCTCAACCACTGAGCCACATCCCCAGGCCCTTTTTTATTTTGAGACAGGGTCTTTCTGAGTTGCTGAGACTGGCYTTGAACTTGCGATTCTCAAAATCTTTTCATGGCTCTGCCTTACTSAATTCCGACTGTTCACTGGACCATCTTCTTCAGTTTGGGATGGAACAGGGAAAGGCTGTGCTAGAGAGGTGCTGGAGGGAAGGGGTCCTGGAGGGAGGGTGGGAAGAGAAGAGGGAAAAGGAAAAAAGGGAGGAGAGGGAAGAAAGAAGCGAGAAACACACAGAAAGAGGAAGAGAGAGATGCAGGGGGAGAGAAAAAGGACCCTTCCTATGGGCCACATCCTCCAGCTCCCCACTGGGCTTTGGAGTGTCACTGTCCTTTGCAATGCTGACTCACCACTGCCCTCAGCTCGCCAACCCCTTCCTTCTCACACCCCAGAAGCTCCCTCTCAAGGGGTCAGAGAAGCCCAAGGGCTCAGGAGAGGGAAATACAAGAAACGCATCTCACGGGCACAACAAAACCAAACCTAGGTYAGGTCTGTTTCCTGGACTCTGGGACATCTTCCTAAAGACCTATGAATCCCCTGTRGGGCACGCACAGTGGGCCGATGGCTGCGTGGTCCTGCTGGAATGTCTTACTTGGCCAGCAGACTCATGAGGTAGGTGGAGGTGTTGGTGTCCAGTCTCAAAGGAGGCACGGTGACATAGGCGGCCGCATGGGACCAGTCCTGGTGGTAGTAGTGCAAGCCTGTCAGTGTGGCATGTGCGGTGGTGGTCTCAGCCAGCACCACCTTCCCTGGAAGAAAAAGGGGCAAAATTGTAACTTGGAAGCCACTGAGCCCAARAGATCACTGGCCTGAGCCTCTCGTTTAGAGCTGAAGGAGCTGAAGGCGGAGAAGGGAAGGGACTTCCCCAAGCTTGCTGGGGAATTTGAAAGCCTGGCTCGGTCCAAGTCCAGGGACCTTCCCTACTGTCCTGCTAACTCTGGGCAAGGGGAACAGCAGGGCGTAGGCTCTGGGGCCAGGGAGCACAGAGCAACGCTTTGAGGAACCCAGTTTGGCCAGGGTGTGTGTAGGGTACCGCAGGGAGCTGAGGCTTGGTGGTGACTGGCAGGATGCAGGGCATGAAACCTGGGATAAGGGGCAGTCTGGCCTGTTTCTGAGCTGGCAGGTGCTGTGAGCAGCTCCAAAAGAACTGCTGGGGTGGGATCCGTAGTAAGGCTAGAYGGCAGGGAGATATGAGGGGGATCCACCCAGCAGGGTGGGGCAAGAATCCAGTGGGATCCCAACAAGGGGCTTCAATTAGGGGAGAGGCAAAGGGTGGGGCCTAGAAGGTAAAACTGTGGAACTCTGGGGTGATTTTGCTTCTGACTGACATCCCTAGGGTGGTGACCATGACTTTGTTTTCCCCGTTACTAGTTCCTTCCCAGCACCCTGTGCTGGGTGGACCACACACACCATAAAGCAGGTACTGCCAGGGGATCAGCACTGGGAGCTACACGAGTGCCCTGCAGGGCTTGCACATAGGGCTCCAGATGGCTGGAAAGGGAAGTTGGGCTCACACACTCATTCCTCCAGGGACTTCCTTACACCCCCGGAAATGCCCACTGGAATTGGCCCAGGGTTTTATGGTAGTTGTCAAGGCAACTGTTAGTAAAATCTGAGGCCMAAAAGACACCAATTAATGAGTCAATTTAAAACTTTGATCATTTTATCAGACCCAGGCGAGGTGACAGACATTTCTGCAAAGCTGTTACACATACAAATGTGCGGAGGAGAAAACTCCTGTTTCACAGAATGAACCCAAGCGAGGGCGGGGCACTCTGAGGCCCACAGGAGCACAGAACAGGGAAGAGTGGGTGCACAGAACAGGGAAGAGTGGGTACACATCCCAACCTCAGAAGCCAGGCCTGAGGGTGCACTGAACTGGTGTGCCCTGCAGTTCTCCAATCCCACAACACAACATGCACCCAAGCCTGAGCACTTACCTTGCATCTTAGCAGCTGCAATAACGTCACCAGCAGAGATGCTGGACACATTGACCAGGTAGATGGGACAGTGAGTCTAAATACAAGAAATGCAGGAAGTAGAGCATCAACCCCCAAACAGGTAACAAGCACCAAATTAACCCTGGAATAATCAGTCCCAGCAAGGGCATCACTATTGGCCCATGTCACTCAACCCCACTGTCCAGGTGACAGTCTTATGCTGGGGTGCAGGGCTGGCTGCAAGGAGGCAGCAGGTGGCAGCCAGCAGCAGATCCTGCCAGGGAGGCCAACCCTGGAGGCAACCTCAGGTCAAGACAGTAGAGTCTGAACCTCCCATTTTCTCCCATCCAACGGCCTAGACTGTAATTTAAAGGGAGGGACTGTTTTTCCTATTTCAACTTCCTGTTTATAAACATGATGACCTAGAGATAGTAGTATATTATATCCTATATATAAAATTACAATGCCTGCTGTCTACAGGCTGCCTTATCAGGAGACAGCTGTACCCTGGGGAAGAACAAAATACAACAGGGTCAGGGTTCAGAGTGTAGGACAGACAAGACCCATCTTGTGAGTGGACACCTAGATTGTCAAATTGATTAGCTTTTCCTCTATTGAACTGTGTGGCTATGGCCCATGGCTTACCTTCTCTGGGCACACGTTTGAGCTAGAAACCCAAGAGCTGCCTTTTCATTGTTCTAGTCTTTCCTTATTCTGGGGTAAATTCCCATCAGGAGGTAATTGCTAAAGTAACTATTGTCACAATAAATGAAATAAGGTCCTTGTCTAACTGCCAGAGCTATAAAGAGCTAATAGAAACTGTTTCATCAAATGTTATTTGGATGCTTTCTTTGCTAATCAAATTAGTAGGATATAAGAGTTTAGGAACTGGCTTTATATCATGTGCATGTTACAAGTCATCTGACTAATTCTGGGGCTGAATGACTTACAGCCTCTTTGTCCCCCACTGCCACCRAATTCTTAAGACCACATCTCCCTGATTATAGGCTTTGGGTGGCCCAGGCCATTCCAGAAGGGAAGGTCCTATAGAATCACTGGGGGGCTTATTATATACAAATTGCTGGAAATCACCCTYAGTTTCTGATTTAGTGGGAATTTGTGCTTCCAAGTCCCTAATTCTGATAAATGATGCTGATACTGCAGGTCCAGAGACCACGGGGTGAAAGCTGCTGTTCTGGAGGCAGTAGTCAGATTATCTGAGCAAATCGACTCCTTCAGCGTTGGCTTGGGGGCAATGACCTGCCTGGGCTCTACTGTCTGTGAAGTGCTTTCCCTTCGTGGGCTCCTTTGATCTTACAACTCCCCTGTGAAAAGCAAGTGACACTATTATTCCAACTTTATATAATGAGATAGCAGATCAGAGGGCATATGGTMAAAAGCTGTGATTAGGTGAAGGCCGAGTCTGGAACTCTGACATCACCATCCCGTCATCACCCTCCACCAGTGCCTTCTCATCCCTGCGGGGGCTTTACCTGAACTAGACCAAGGAAAAATGTTCAAAAACAACGATGTAGCAGCAGAGGTCTAACTGTGATTTTCTAAGGAATAGATTCCAGTTGCAGAGAGTCTCGGGGTTCCCCACCTTCCTCTGCCTCCCTGGGCCATTTACCCTTGAGCAATGAACTAGGGCTTCTGTTAGCTCAAGTCAGTGGAACAGAGAGCAATAACGCTCCACTCAGCAAACAGCTGGGGTCCTGGGGGTCACAGCAGAGTGAGGCCACTCTGGGATCCCGCTACTTACCCTGTTGGCAATGGTGATGACTCGGTGAGTTGCTTCTGCTTCCAGCTGTTAGAAACAAAGAACAGGAAGGAACCCAGCTTCAGCATCTCCTTGAGCCACAGTAGCCTTGGAGGGATGCCAGGAGGGGCTGGCTGTACCCTCAGGGKCTGATGGGGTTGGGGGTTGAGGGCAAGGCCTGGCTACTAGGCTCCAAAAACTTCTGCTCCAATGGAGAGAGGGTCCTGGGACTTAGAATACTATGCACATCCTTGCTGGATGCTACTCAGGGCATAGTTAAAAGGCACCACTGTAATCCCAGCAGCTGGTACCAGCGGTTCCCTTTAACCAGCAGATGTTGTTGTTTGTCATCACCTCAGTGAAAGCCTTGCTCTTTCCTCATGTAACCTAACAAAGCAAATACAGGCCTGGGCACATCCCTGCTCACCCGTTCTCATGGGCACCCTCAGGGGATTGACTGTTATTTGGTGCATCCTTCTCTACTGATTCTGAGGTGCCCAAAGAGGACTTATATTCAGAGACAGGTGCAGGGCAGGAGGAAGGCGGGCCACCATGGCTCCTGGGTGATAGTGGGACCACAAATCCCATCTCCTCGACATTGTTGATATCCAACCACCACTCTGCATTTGAGGAAAGGAAAAGCACTTTCCCTTACACATAGTAGAGGATGTCGGAACACTCATGGGGCAAGAAGGCATTGTTTATCTGATACAGAACCTCCAGAGCAGAATTCTGTAGCAGGGGCACTATGTGTGTCAATACCCTGCAAAACTGTATGCAAAGATAAAAATCAGAGGGCAGAGGAGAAAGGGCTTTTAATTTCTTTAAAATTTCTAAAATTTGTTCTTTTTAGATATACATGTCAGTAGAATGTATTTTGACATATTATACATACATGGAGTATAACTTATTCTATTTAGGATTCCATTCTTGTGGTTGTACATGATGTGGAGTTTTACTGGTGGTGTATTAATATATGAACATAGGAAAGTTATGTCAAATTGATTCTGCTGTCAGGGCTTTTAATTTCCATCTCAATGAGTAAGCAGGGCAGAAGAGCACGGACAGGCAGGTGCCCCTCGTTTCTGGTGGGAATGGTCCAAGGTGCTCCTCAGATGGGATCTGATTCCCCACATGCTAAGTCCCTGACTTATGGTTTGGACTTCCTTCTAGCATCTAAAGTCCCTTTCAGTCTCTCTGTCTCCTCATTCAGTTTTGGGCAAAGCAACTCCTGGAACCGATGACATTTTCCCCAGAATCAAATGGAGCGGGGTCTTTATGATGCCCCACAACTATCTCTTTTAAGGAAGCTCGAGATCAGGTTGGCCTCAGCATGGAGGAAGTYGAACCCTGGGAAGCTTCCAGATGGAAATTTCACCCAGGGAGGAAGTGATATGAGTTATATTCTTGACCCCTCTTCCATCCTACAAGATTCTGTGAGCCTGCAGGAGAGAAGCTGACAGAGGACACAGGAGCTCTTCCTTACCTCCTCTGGACGGCTGATCTCGATTCCTTCTGGGCCTGTGATACCCAAATCTAGTGCCTCCTTAGCACCCTAAATAATAGCAAAGGAAAACTGAATCATAGAAATACAAGAAAATACCTAATCCAAAGGACAAAACGTATGCTAGACACTGCTGTCCTCACAGGGTGGCCACAGCCCTTATTTCTATAACACCTGTCTTCAGAAGAGGAAACCCAGCGCCCCAGATAGTAAGTGAGGACCTTCCTGCTCTCACTTCTTTACTGCCAAGCTGCACTCCAGCCCCGATCCTTCTTCTTAATGGCAGACATATATTTTTCTGTTAAAAATATAATTCCATAACTAGCCAACAGGACAGGGATGCCAAAGACAAACACTGTTGATTGGCTTGAAAGTCAGTATTTCCTCACTGGAAGTCTAGATACTCTAGCTTCAGCAACTCCTAGACCAACCCTTATCCCAAGACCCAGGAGAATCCAGAGATCTATCCTTCTTGGCATCAGAGAATAGATCTCTATACTAATTCAGTTCCTCCAAACAGATATAGGAAGGTAGAAAGCTTGATTCTTGTTTGTTCTGTATGTTAAATCTCATGAAAAATATCTCTAAGAGGTGTTCCAAACTCTTTTGCGATAATGGACTTTAAACATCTTGCCATTAGAACTTAAAAAAGAGGTATTTGCTCTTTATATACAAGTATATAAGTTTGGATTTTCTGACTACCATTTGGCACCGACAGTGTTTGCATCTCACAATTCATTTTTTATAACTTGTTTTGCCTGAATCTTGCAGTATCAGCAACAGGTGGTCAGGACACTCCTCCTCACACCCCCAACAAATTGTCCCCACTGGTGCCACCCCATCTGCCACCCTCTCCTGCACACTTGCCTCGGCCACAAGCTCCCCATTTTCAGCATGGACTCGGGGGATGGCCCCGATGTCCTTGCAAGCGTGTAACACTTGGTATAGCTCGTTGTCCCGAAGCATGTACAAGTCCTTGTAGGTCATGAACATCTGGAACGAGTTGACGCCTTTCTCTCTCACCAGGGTTTCCATTTCTGCTTTTACCTGGAGAGTATAACGCAAGGTAATGCCAGGTGAGTACTGAGATCCCAGAGGCGATGGGGCAGGCACTGGCCCAGCATGGATACTCAGGGCCAGTCCCAGCTCGGCAGGTCAAATCACCTTATGACTCCCCTCAACCTCGCAGTGTCTCACTGTCCTTCCACCCCAGGCTGCTGCGAGGTCACTTGACCAAGAGGATGCCTAAGTCCTTTGAACTTAGATTATAAACTGTGTTCTTAGATTATCAACATGCTTTTCCCATCACACAGACTTGTCCTGGGTCTGCACCTCCAAGCCAGCCTCCTTGATAAATGTAGGAAAAACAACTTTTATTCTTGTGGTCTGTTCCCCAGCCCCCAGAGTGGAAGTGGGGTCACAAAGAAGGCATACTTACACTAAAAAACCAGAGACTGGGAAAATCAAATTAGGAACAAAACAAAACATGAACAAAGCTATGCAAATAAGGGCATTCATCCGAACATTATTTATGTTGGGGGGAAAAAATGAAAGCAACATTGTTCTAATGGTAGGAAACCAACTTGAGGTTCATTTGCTTGCTAGAATGTTAGGTGGCCATTAACATCAAAGCTCATAAAGACTGTGCAACAAAAATAGAGAGTGCTYACAGAGCTGCTATGGAAAAGCATGGACTAGACTGAAAGAAATAAGCCTAAATGGATGATATGCTTCCTTTTTTATAAAAAAGAYGTGATTAAAAAATGATGTTATTAAAGAAAAGAATTTAGAATTTTAGATAAATGAATGTCTACACAACCTCTGGCAWCTTAGGGACAGCTGATATGGCCCTWGTGTTGCTGGGAATCTGCATGGGTCCTCAGTTCCAGGCCAATTCCAGGGGGAGGCAGAGGGGCTCCAAGTAGGGGTCACAGCCCAGAAGGGTGTCCAGAAAGGAGACTCCCATCTGAGATAAGCATGCTCTGCACCGTTAGCCTGGTACAATCAGAGGGGCCTTCGTGTGTGAGGGTCTCACTTTCCATAAGTAACAGGTAGGAAATGATGGGAGAGGCTGGGCAAGCCCCCAACTCAAGGCTAAAACCAGAAGGGCAGAGGTAGAATGGGGCTTTTAGTTACCATCTCAGAAGGGGGTTGGAGGACCCTTTAGACTAGGGTCCACAATTGCACATTTTGTGAAGCTTACATGTTAGTTATGGTATGGGGCATCCACCAAACTACTGGCACATTGAGCTTAATAAATAAGGGAAGAATGAATGCACAGTCTACTTCCCTGGGTAATAAGCAATAAAACTCCAGCAATGAAGCAAAACCTGAATGCCTATATACTATTTTCAGGAAGAAAAAGGAAGTAGGAATCCAGGGAGAAGAGCCTGGGCTCTGGCCCTTGGTCCTGGGCAGGGGRAGGATAGGAAAGCCAGAGGCCAAGGGCAGAGACACAACATGGGCTCAGAAGCTGGACTGAGAAAGGGCTCAGAGGCAACCAGCCTCAGGGCAGCCCAGGATAGGTTCAAGTCTTCTCCCAGTAAACGCTAGGCTCCTGTAGGAAAGAAGCATCCCCTGGGCCATTTGTCCCAGGCAATGCTGAGCCAGGATATGAATGACCCTCAGTTTAGAGACCTCAGCTCAGTGTTATCAACTCCCAGTACAAACAGGACACCACCCTCTGCACCTGAGCTGTYTCAGCCAGCCAATTGGCATGCTCCCCATTAGACACCAGTGACACCCCATATGACATAATATGCTGAAAGCCTATGGTCAGAGCAAGGAGCCAGTGCTCTTGAGGCCTGGCCTCTGGTCCCTAGYCTTGGACTCTGTTGCAGCCTGGCACTCCCTGTGTCTGCTGCAATATGGGTAAAGCAGGGTAGGCCCACCCACWGTCCTTGTGGAACCCCAGGTCAGTTGCTTTGGCAAGTGGGGGCATTAGTGGGCATCCCTCCCCACCCAGGCAGGAGAGCACCAGGGCCYAGCTGGCTGAGTCCAGATGGCCCCTTTGCCCACAAGACCTCTCATGCCTTCTTTGAAGATTCTACCAGCAGAAGTACCTTGGGTGCCCACCAGGTGATCCCCACATGGAGGGCATAGTCACAGCAGACCTTGGGGTCGGCGAGACCCCGGCACTTCTCATAGGCATCCACGAGAGAGGTCTCCTTGTCAGGCAGGACGTGGCCGATGATCATGGTGGTGCCTCCAACAAGCGCTGCCTGAGGAAGAGAGGAAAAMGCAGTCCTGTCACGGTTCTACCTGAACCCAAGTCACTGATGTGGCAAGATGTGGTCCTGAGGGACACTCAGAACAACCACAGAGCCTACCTCCCAAGAGGCTGTGAGGACTAAAGGCAGCAAGGTTTGGGAAACCTTAGTGGTTGCACCAAGGACAGAGCCAGTGTGTGACTGAATGCCATCTGTTCCTTATTGTTACTGTGGGTCCCAGCACACAAGCCTGTCTCTTCCCCATTCGGGTTTCAATTTGCTATCCTGGGAAACAACTTAGTGTGTCACCACGCCCAAAGCAATCTCTATTTGCCAGGTAGGATCTCCCCCAGATGACTTTTTGTCAACCTGAATACAAAGATGACACAATCAAATGCTATCATATAATTTAATGTAATATAAAGCATAACCAAATGTCCATTTGTAACATTTGCTAATTTAGTTATACACAAATACTTAAACCACAAGCTATAAAATGTTAATTGGGATATATTGTTTTGTTTTCTTCTCTCACACTTCAAGAAACGATCTTACTCTATCTTTTTAACTGGTTCTTCAACATCAGGGTCTCTATCTTCAGTTTTTCCAAGCACATTAGCTTTCTTTAGATCGAGTACTTTTTAGATGCTGACTCTAATTTATCAGTGAAAAACAATCCAATTCACAATCTCCAAAAAATTCTACATTTTTAAGAAWTTTTTAAAAAGCCTTACTTGCAATCACAGAACATACTGTCAGGGAAAATTATCAAATTCCTTTCAACTTTAAAAAACAAATTTGGCCAGGTGACATCCAAGTTTCTGTTTCAGATAATGCGTTGTTCCCAAACAACACTTTGTTATTAAAATGAAAATAACTCAGAGTGATTCGGAATGGGGGCTCCAGGTTGGAGTCCTGCTCTGCAACCTCATAGGTGATCACTGCATCCAGGCACCTTCTGAGATGCCGGTTCTTTGTCTATACCTGGGTCAGCTTCCTACTGGACAGCTGTAAAAAGTCAAGTAGGTCATCACTTATGGAATAGATCTGGTAAAGTGTCCTGATGTGTGTGTTTAATTATTCAGAATGTAGGTGTTCACCTGTTTTCTGTACGGGTAAAAAACATAATGGAGCTGTCTTCATGATTTCATGCTTCTCTATTCAGTTAAATCCTTGATCACAATTCAGAAATACTGCTAGGAAATAAGGCACCGAGGACAACTAGTTTCGTGGCCAAATAAGAAGGAAAAAATAAAACTTTGCAACCTTGGTTGTCTACACTGACTGGGGCAGTGAGAATACTCTCCATACCCTCTTGGGGGCCTCAGTGGCAAGACTTCAAGCCACCAACAGAGGGTGGTGGTTCTGTGACACAGTAGGAATAGAGATGGGTSGGGGAGAGAGAGAAGGGAAGCACGAGGCAGATTGTAGCTTACTCGCTGGCTTCTATTTCTGATTCTGCTGGATGCTGCCAGGCTGATTCATCTGCATAGCAGGTGGTTGTACTCTATTTTGTCCTGAAATGCATTTCTTGCTTGTACACGTGCAAGTGGGGGTGTTTGATATATTGGGATTTTACACACTAAATTGTTTTATTTTTCTGTGGTTCCAGATTGCTTTCCTTTGCATTCTCCATCAGTACATCCGCAGGCTTGGAGAGAAAAAAGGGAACCTGAACCACAATACAGCRTGCTAAAAGACCCAGGACCGTCCTTGATATTTGGGGATCCCAGGGCGAGAGTGGAAAAGGAGGTGCATGTGCCAGTATAAATATTCAAAAGACAGAGAGCGAGCTAATGAATTGTGACACAGAGTATATTCTATCCTTTGACAAATATATCCTTATAATGATCGAGAGGGCAAGGCTTGCATCTAGAATTTTTTGGGGGGGTCTTCAAAATTCTGAGCTACACTGAGGGGGAAGTTGGCCTCAGCCTCTATGCCTGCCCCACCCAGCTCTCACTTTCCACCCCGGATTCGCCCTGCAGCCCACAGGTCTAAGCTCTGTCTGACCCTGCAAAATGCTGCCCCCGGGCTTAGCGTGCACACACTCGTGGTCTGGGTCCCTGGAGGAGAGATTCACGTTTGTGCAGGCCCTAGAAGGGCTCAGGACCTTGGTCAGGGAATTGCAGGGATCCCAGTGGCCTGGGAGTGGGCTGTGGGGGTCTGGGCAGGAATGGCTCTTGAGCCTGGGAGTAAGGGGAACAAATTGTCAGAAGGTCCAAGCAGCATCCTTGAGAGTTCAGCACCTGGGGCAGAGTCCCTTCTTTCCTGGGTCTAGGAGTTCTGGAGGGAGTGTGGGACACCGGGTGGGTCTTGATTCTCCACAAATCATTTGAGATCCAGGAACAGCCATGTGCCCGCTCTGCACCTCAGCCCCCAGGGTGCAGAGAGGGTCAGCACACTCTCCCAGCTGGAGGCTTGGGAGCCCAGCCTGGAGCCTGGCTGGACGGTGCTTGTCTTCTCTCAGATAAGACACACAGAGCTGGCTTTTAAAATATGTGCAGTTCCGACCCCTGGATGAATGTTGCAGGCGCTGTCTCCACAGGAATATGATATCACRGTTATGACAGACCATTTCAGTGTCAGCCCCACAGCCAACCTGAGATCATGCGTGGAGCATGGCCCAGCTCTAGTCCTGAGGCTTTCAAAAGGATTGTGTTAAGACCATGCAACTGTGTATGTGGGGGAAGGGCGCTGGGGATGCACTCAGTGGTACAGGGTATGCTCAGTGTGCACCAGGCCCTGAGCTGGATCCCAGCACACAGAAAAAAAATTAAAATGAAATTTAAAAAAAAAAAATCTAATCCCTCCACCCTGATGCTTAAAACAAAACAAAACAAAAAAAGAAATGAAATAATTCTGATGAAGCTCTCCATCCTATTCCCACCCATACTTCTCTGAGGTTGATATAAATTCCTTCCAYTTACGTTTTTATGCTTTTACTATTTTTTTTAAAAGAATGTACACAAAAGGCCTGCCGGGTGTGGTGGTGCATGCCTCAGCTCGGGAGGCTGAGGCAGGAGGATCATGAGTTCAAAGCCAGCCTCAGCAAAAGTGAGGCCCTAAGCAACCCACTGAAACCCTGTCTCTAAATAAAATACAAAAAAAGGCTGGGGATGTGGCTCAGTAGCTGAGTGCCCCGGAGTTCAATCTCTGTACCCAAAGAACAAACAAACAAAAGGCATCCTACTGTCTATCTCTTTGCAAGTTGCTTTTTTTCTTACTCAATATTTTCTTTATTAAAATTTATTTCATTCCTTTTAATTCATTCAAGATCTGAACATCCCTCCATGAATTTATCTGTTCCTGAGTTCATAGACACTTAACCTGATATTTGAACATTCTTGTGCGCCTATGAGCAGAGCCCACACTCTGCCAGGAGGTGGGGTTGTAGTCTGTGGCGTGCACACTGCCAACTACCCCAGACCCTCCAAGGAGAAGCTGCCTTGCTAGGGCGTCCCGGGGCCTGTGGCTGACCAAAACTGCCCACTCAACAACCCAAGCCCTTATTATTTTTTTTTAAATTTAAACTTCTGTCCAGCTAAGTCTTCGCCACTATGAAAGTGAGCATGTTTTTGTCCTCATGTAGGACTTCACATGTCTGTGAATACCCAGAATATTTAATCTGGGTACTAGGACTGTTTGTTTAACCAACAGTCACAGTAYACCATTCTACACATGGGGCAGGGTACAAAACTTAATTTTACTACTTCAAAGGGTCACTCTTTTTTGCTGTTGACATTTATGATGCACTGCTAGGTAAACCTGGATTTGTTTGATACTCGGTATTGCCCGATTTGCTCCCTAAAAACACCCAATATACAGAATGGTAATCCAAATGACACAATTTCCAGGCACATACTTAGCAAAGAGCAGGATCTTATATAGAACTCAATCTAGACCTTTCCTAAATGTCATCTTTATGCTTCGGAAGTTTATCAGACCATTGTGGGACAAGCAGGTCTTTAGGTCAAGCAGGACTCGATCAGCAATTGGAAAGAAATTTCAGATATTAAGTCTGTTCCTATGTGATTTACTTGCCAACCTCACAATATYAGAGAAAACAATGTATTGATACTTCCTCTCTTATCAGGGCAGAGGTCTCTGATCTTACCATCTTCCATATTGCCACGGAACAAATYGTGCTTTTCTGAGTTTCCTGTAGCCATGGTTTCCTCCTCCTCCTGCAACCTCCCTTTCCCCGGCCACAATGCGGTTGTCTTACTCCAAAGCCAAGAACCCATGGGTCAAGGCACAAACTTTGTGCTGTGCTTTGAGAAAGCAGTTGGGCCAGAACCAATCTGTGGGATTCTCTTCCACTRGAGGAGGGGAGGGGCTTTCTGAGCACATTTTCGTACAGGTGCATGGTAAAGGGGTGTGTGTTGAGGAGGTGACTGGAATCAGAAAAGCGGGGTCTGCTACTATACAGATGCATGGATTAAGGGCAAGGCGATCTTTAAAGGGGGATACTGCACTGAGAATCAAATGACAAGTATTTAGATTTGCCATGGTTTGGATATAGTTTGAGTTCAGGTGTTGAAATTTAATCTCCATTGTGAGGTTATTAAGATGAAAACTTAATCCTATTATAGTGATCAAAGGTGGAGACTTTGGGAGGTGATTAGGATTACCTAAAGTCTTCAGGGTGGAGCCCCCGATTAAATACTGATGGCTTTATAAGAAGGGAGGGACCAGAGGATATACAGACTCATACTCATGTTCTCTCTCTCTTGCTATGTGATGATCTTCCCTGTCTCAGGACTCTGCCAGCAAGAAGGCCATCACCAGATGTAGTCCCTCAGCCTGGGACCCCCAAAACAATGAGTCAAAATAAACCTCTTTTCTTTATAAAGTATGCAACCTCAGGTATTTCATTACAGCAATAGAAAGCAGATGAATACAGTTATGCCTCATAAACTAGTCAGTGAAATGAAAACATGTGCATCTCTTAATGTGGTTAGGGAAGCCATCATTTGTTCAGATGGTTCTGTTTCTCTGAGAATTGCTGA